AAGTGAATGTCTACAAACTCCCACAAACACACCTACTAAACGACTGGTGTCTGAACTCTTCTCTCTCTCTCTCTCTCTCTCTCTCTCTCTCTCTCTCTCTCTCTCCCTCCCTCCCTTTTCTGTAGACTAACTGGCCTTTTCAAGGTAAATTCCTTCTTTTGGATCTTAGGTCCCATTCTCCTTTGCCTTCTCAAGAACATTGCTCCAGTTTTTCCACTGCATCAACAATTTTTTCCTTTCCTACTGAATCATTCCCATCAGCACACAATAATACATATTGTAATAGCTCTTGTCTTTTTTAAAAAGTCTTGTCACCCTTCATCTTTCTTCAGCTATTTCTCCATTTTTTACTTTCCCTATTGACCCCAAATCTCCAAGAGTTTATTTATCCACTATCATCAGTTCTTCTCTCTTCATCTATTTTCAACTCAATTATTCTAAATTCAATAGTCAGTTCTAAGTTCCTCATTCTACTTATCCTATTAGTAATATTCAACAAAATTGATCTCTCTCTCCTTCTTAAAACATTATACTCATTTGCTTTTGCAAATGCCTGCTCTCCTGGTTTGCTTGCCCTCCTACTCACTCTTTCTTGCTCTTCTTTGCTGACTCTTTCTCCTTTTATTGGCCTCTAAGAATTAGGATATCCTGAGGCACAATCTCTGGACATTTCCTCTTCTCTTCCTAGCTTCATGCCAAGTGCTCTGGTTCAATGCCCTAGCTTAACTACCATCTATGCCAGTAGTTCCCAATGGGGATGATTTTACCCCCCCAAGAGACATCTGGCAATGTCTGAAGACATGTTTGGTTGTCACAACTGGGAGCAGGTGCTATTGTCAGCTAGGGGTAGAGGCCAGGGATGCTGTTGAACATCCTAAAATGCATAGGATAACAAAACAAAAATGCCCTCCACAACCAAAATGTATCCAGCCCTAATGTCAACAGTGTCAAGGCTGAGAAACCCTCATTGGTCCAGTCATCTGAACTAATATGCCCAATTTCCTATTAACATTGTCATTTGGGTTTTTAACAGATAGCTCAGACTTAACATATCTCAAACTGAAGTTTGGATTCCCTCTGCCTCAGCTCAGGTTCCATAGAAAACAACCTGAGACAGGATTACACTTTAATGGCAGGTGTGATCCCTGGGGAACTGAGAGAAAAGAGAAAAGTGAGATAAAGAAGGATAGTGTGCAATTCAAGGTGGTGAGTTACCAAGCTTGCCACTGCTTCATGAGCCACAAAGAGATGCAGCCTTGTCATTAGACTATGTGGTTGTTTGTCTCTGAAATGAATAAAAGGAGAAGGAATTTATCTATAGGCTTCAACTTATCTCATATCTCCTACTGGGCAAGCTCCCACTGCTCCATTGAGTTAATGCCTCCATATGGCTGCATTGTTCACCTGGATTTTTGCAGTCTTGAGGAATCCAGATTCCACTCATTGCAGTGTGGCCAACCTCAGGAAGCAGAGCTCTGTGCCCACACAGAGTTGGCTGTCTCAGCAGCGGCTGAGGCAGTACAAGTGGCCACAGGCAAGAAGATTGGAGAGGCAGAGAGAATCCGAGAAGGGGCCTCAACTGCCCAATACAGTAATACCTAAGATACACTAGATACCAGACTCTGGGTAGCTCACATTATGACCATCCCATCAAAGCTTCCAGTAAATGACATTACCATCTACCTAGTTACAAACCTAGGAGATATTCTTGAAACATGTCTATGCCCCACATCCAAAATCCTGCCATCTCTAGTTTTAAAATGTGATCTTATGCCAATCCCTTCTCATAAGCCTATCACTATCTTCCTTGTTTAAGCCATTATTGCCTGTGCTACTTAATAACTTCCAACCTCATGCCTCATTTCCTGTAGCCAGAATAATCTTTACAAACAGTAAATCTTATTATATTACTTCATGGAACCAAGTCCTCCAATAGCTTCCATTGCACTCAGAATAAAATAAAATATTCTTACAGTGGCCTGAGATGCCCTGTACTCTCTGCCTTCTGCCTAGTTTTCCAACCTACCTTCTACAACAGCCTCCCTTGTCACTCCCTCCTAGCTGCATTGTCTCCCTAACATGTTAAGCTTGCCCTTGCCTTAGGACCTTAGAAATTGGCTCTTACACCTATCCTGATCTTCCTAGTCCTTGCTCTCTCTCTTCTTGAGGTTCTTTATTGAAATATTACCTCTACAGAGAGCTTGCCACTGCTTCATGAGCCTTCCTGGCCATATAAATCTGTATTTATTAGTCTCTATCCCCTTTTCTTAATTTTCTTTATCTAACATTATAATGTGTGGTTTATCTGTTCATTATCTGTTTCTCCCATCAGAATGTGACCTATGTGAGGTCTGAGACCTAGTGTGCCTTATTTATTACTGTGTCTCCAATGCTACAATATGTCTAACTCATAGCTGGGGCCGAGCAAATATTTGTTGAATGAATAGATATCTTCCAACCCTTACCAACGGCGGGCTTGTATTAAGAATGATGAGTCCCCAGCTTAACAGTTTTCTCCCAGTTCCTTAGAGGTCCCATCTTGCTCTAAACTAGTGATGGTGAACCTATGACACCCGTGTCAGAGGTGACACGCGAACTCATTTTTTTGGTTGATTTTTCTTTGATAAATGGCATTTAAATATATAAAATAAATATCAAAAATATAAATCTTTGTTTTACTATGGTTGCAAATATCAAAAAATTTCTATATGTGACACGGCACCAGAGTTAAGTTAGGGTTTTTCAAAATGCTGACACGCCGAGCTCAAAAGGTTCGCCATCACTGTAAACACTTCCATCCGCTAGGGATATGGCAAAGCTCCTGATCTTATCACCCTAATAAGACCCCACATTTAGTAACCTGTGATCCCACTCAGCCTGCAAATCTCTTCTGGTAAGGCAATCGCCAAAAGTTGAACCGGGGCAAGTGCATCCACATGAGTCTAGGGCTCTAGGGAGATGACAGTCGCAGAGGTGTTTAAAGAAGGAAGGGAGACGGAGGAGCAGGAGCAGAGTAGGGAAGCCAGGATTGCCAGGACCTGGTCCGAAAATGTTTGTCAGGTCCAGCAGGTTATTTGTGATAGGGCTGTAACAGCAGCAGCTGCAATCACAGCAGTAGCAGCAACAAAAACAAGGGACTTGACAGTACTGTAGCGCAAAGCTTTATGGTTTCTTTATTTTTCTTTTATTTATTTAGCAATAAAGCAGTAGTACAGAAAGGTAGAATTAGTGGGATAGAATATGTGTATGGAAAGCGGGAAAAGGGCAGAGCTTTGCTCCTAAAGGAAAAGCTGGGGTAGGGATCCGGCGGAATGGCGAGAACAAATACTTTTATTTTGCTGTAAAGAAGGCTGGAGCCTGAATCTGGGGGAGGGACTTAACTAGTTCCGTACCCAGAATTATTGCACTGCCTGGGCAACCCCGCCGAGGCCCCTGCTTTCCACTAGCCACCAGGGAGTGGAGAGCTCGAAGCTATCGGCTTTGATTACTGAGGTGGGCGGCACAGGCAGGAGGTAAGGAGATCCGGTCGTGCGAAGGGGTGGTCCAACGCAGCGGGCGGGACCAATCGGCAGCGACTCCGGGCTCCGGCAGCTCCTTAGAGACTCGCCGCATTCGAAGTACCGGCTCTGCCGGCTGCTGGCTTTCGCGCCGCAGCCGCCGAGGCGCAGCGCCCCTGGGGGCACTGCTGGTGCTGCATTCGGTGCACCACGCACACCCTGGCTGGTGCTGCCCTGCGCCTCTGTGCGGACACTTTCCCCAAGAAGTTGCACGCCTTGCAAGTGGCCCTGTGGAGGCACTAGGCCGGGAAAAGAAGCTGCGGGAGGAGGAACATGGTGGGAGGTGGGCAGGCGACTTGCTTCTCAGATTAGTCCCAATTAGCACCCGGTTGGCAGATCACCGCACTAAACCATGAAGCCTTTGGGGGTTGGCCATGTTATCCGCATTTAAAAATAATCTGATCTTAAGAAAACTTGCAACTCCCGTCGTGGGTCAGTTGGACCCACGTGGGACACACTCTAAACATCACCTCCTCGCAGTGACACGGGGTAAAACAAGCCCAGGTGATCCCCAACTGCAGAGCTCTCCCTCAAGTCCGCATCTCTCGGAGAACGGCGGGGAGAAGCGGGGTCGGCTCTGCCAAGAGCGCCCGGCGGGAGGGGCGGGATGACACGCCGAACGCGGCCAACAAAGCGGATTATTGTGGGACTGCACAAACGCAACCCCGTCCGAGGAGTTTTGCCAGGAACACCGCCGCCTGCATTGCGTCGGACCTGACCATTTGAAACGTGCAATTCCCGGGGAAGGTCACGGCCAGGGACCTTGCGTGTGCGGGGCTGCGGGCCATAGGAGAGAAGAATCGGGTCTGCTTTTCTGGCAGAAGGAAAAAGCTGTGCTGGCAAGAGTGGGAACTGAATGCAACCCCCCTCTGTGGAACCACCCCCTCATATTTTCCATCTACCTCCTTGCTCCTGCCCTCCCCCGCCCTCCCCAACCTACGCCCGGGTGGGCCAATCGCAGCTCCGCATTCCAGGCGCTTTCTCAGGTTTCTGCTGATCTTGCAGCGCCCAGAAATGGACTGAGCGGACCGGCCACCGCTCGCATCCTGCCCCACTCGGCACTCGTAACAGCTCCTGGCGCACCGCGGAGCCCTGGCGAGGTTCACACGGGGGTGCGGGAAGCGGAGGGCACCTGAGAGCCATGTAGACCCAAGCTTTCGCTCGCCCGCCTCCGCTGGGATCGAACCAAGGACTCCCAAAGTGTTCGGAGGGGGCGAGGGTGCCGTTTTCCGTCATTTGCTTCAGAGCTTCGGGAGAGGGTGGCATTTTGCTTTTCCGCCTCGCATCCTCCGGAACTCCCTGCACCAGAGAGAGGACGGCGTCTCCAGGTTGCTGACAGCGGGTGAGAATGGGAACAGGGGATGGACATTTCCCCGCAGTGGCTCAGAAAAGCGACTGCCCAGCTGAAGGGGCATAGGACCAGGGAGCGAGGGCGGCGAATTTCATTCCCACTCGGGCTCTCCTTCCACTCAGCACCGCCACTGCGCCAAGCCGGCCGGCCAGGTAGGGGGCTCCCCAGCTCGGGGCTGCAGAAGCGGGGGTTGGGTGATAGGTGGGGGCAGCTGGGGGTGTGGGGGTGCTGCCTGGGACCTGGAGCTCCCCCAGCGCCTCCAGGCGCTTTTTCCCGATCTCTAGTTTAACGAAGTTGTAAACAGATCGGCTGCGGAGCATTTGGGAAAGTGGGATGGAAGAACCCCAAACTTGGATTTCCGGGTGTCTGTGTGTGCCTGTCTGTGTGTCTGTCCAGCAACAGTCCAGTGCTTTCTGGAAAAAACAGAGGTCTGTGCTCTTCGGTGTCTGTAGGTCCGTCCCATCTGAATGCTTCTGATTTTCTACTTCCGTATCACTTTCTATTTCTCTGCAGCGTCCATCCATCGCCCTGGTGGGAGCTTAGAAGGCGGCAGGCGAAGAGGGGTAGGAGGGGGGAGAGCCGAGAAGCAGAGGGGGTGTCAGGAGAGGGGCTCTGTCGAGCTGGCTCTGCACCGGTCCTAGGAGGGCTCGCAGAGGGGAGGGGAGACCAGGGTGACCCCCGAAGCGATGGCCCTGCCCTCTAGAACAGCACTGCGTTAAGGCACCTCGGACCAGGACGAAACACCAACCCTCCCCCATCCCAACTCCCTGCAAAAAAAAAAAAAAAAAAGCTGCACTCTCGGCTGCAGGCGAGGGGTTTCCAAACTCAGCCAAAGGCAGGGTGGAGGGAAAGGGAACCAGAAGCAGAGCAGCAGATCTCTGGACCTGCGCTCTTTGAAGGCCTTCCCCCTGAGCGTGGGGGAGACGCGCACTCTGGTGGGGGGGGCGCTTGGGTCCCCCCCACCCCTCCCCACTCCGTCCTCTCCACCGCCGGCCTTCCCCTGGCCTCTCATCCCTGCACGTGGCTTCCACCATGACGGTGATTTCTGGGGAGAACGTGGACGAGGCGTCGGCCACCCCAGGCCACCCCCAGGAAGGAAGCTACCCGCGGCTGGCGGACCACGAGGACCACGAGTGCTGCGAGCGCGTGGTGATCAACATCTCCGGGCTGCGCTTCGAGACGCAGCTCAAGACCCTGGCGCAGTTCCCCAACACGCTGCTGGGGAACCCCAAGAAGCGCATGCGCTACTTCGACCCGCTGAGGAACGAGTACTTCTTCGACCGCAACCGGCCCAGCTTCGATGCCATCCTCTACTACTACCAGTCGGGGGGCCGGCTGCGGAGGCCGGTCAACGTGCCCCTGGACATGTTCTCCGAGGAGATCAAGTTCTATGAGCTGGGCGAGGAGGCCATGGAGAAGTTCCGGGAGGACGAGGGGTTCATCAAGGAGGAGGAGCGCCCCCTGCCCGAGAAGGAGTACCAGCGCCAGGTGTGGCTGCTCTTCGAGTACCCAGAGAGCTCGGGGGCCGCCCGCGTCATCGCCATCGTCTCAGTCATGGTCATCCTCATCTCCATCGTCATCTTTTGCCTGGAGACGCTGCCTGAGCTGAAGGATGATAAGGACTTCACGGGCACTGTCCACCGCATCGACAACACCACGGTGATCTACACCTCCAACTTCTTCACGGACCCCTTCTTCATCGTGGAAACCCTGTGCATCATCTGGTTCTCCTTTGAGCTGGTGGTGCGCTTCTTCGCCTGCCCCAGCAAGGCGGACTTTTTCAAGAACATCATGAACTTCATTGACATCGTGGCCATCATCCCCTATTTCATCACCCTGGGCACCGAGATAGCTGAGCAGGAGGGGAACCAGAAGGGCGAGCAGGCCACCTCGCTGGCCATTCTCAGGGTCATCCGCTTGGTAAGGGTTTTTAGAATCTTCAAACTCTCCCGCCACTCTAAGGGCCTCCAGATCCTGGGCCAGACCCTCAAGGCTAGTATGCGAGAGCTAGGGCTGCTCATCTTTTTCCTCTTCATTGGGGTCATACTGTTCTCGAGTGCAGTGTACTTTGCCGAGGCGGAAGAAGCTGAGTCGCACTTCTCCAGTATCCCCGATGCTTTCTGGTGGGCGGTGGTATCCATGACCACTGTAGGATATGGTGACATGTACCCTGTGACAATTGGAGGCAAGATCGTGGGCTCCTTGTGTGCCATCGCTGGTGTGCTGACAATTGCCCTGCCCGTACCTGTCATTGTGTCCAATTTCAACTATTTCTACCACCGAGAAACTGAGGGGGAAGAGCAGGCTCAGCTGCTCCACGTTAGCTCCCCTAACTTAGCCTCTGACAGTGACCTCAGTCGGCGCAGTTCCTCTACTCTCAGCAAATCTGAGTACATGGAGATCGAAGAGGATATGAATAATAGCATAGCCCATTATAGACAGGCCAACCTCAGAACTGGCAATTGCACCACAGCCAACCAAAACTGCGTTAATAAGAACAAGCTACTGACCGATGTTTAAAAAGCCAAGCCAACAAAAAAGCCCCACTTAGCAGCTTGAAAGACTTAAAAGCAAAACAAAAGCCCTGGTGACCCATGTCACTCTTTGTCGCTACTTTACTAGTCTTTGAAAGCTCTGTTTAACTGTCAATGCATTAATTGCATTGTGGATTTTGGGGATGGCCAACCAGAAGCTTTCAAGATCCATTAAAAAAACAACCTGTTTTCATTTTATTAAAAATGGGAAAAGAAAGTGTATTTTATAAAACTGGTTTAAAAAAAATTCAGTCCATAAGCTAGTCTAGGTAAAATAAGATTCATATGCTTCCCCAGACCGAAACATTTGTAATCCCTGGGCTTCTTTAACTTTTTCTTTTCACTAAGAACCAGGTGATCACTTAGAAATATAAAATTAAAAGTTGCATGGGACTCCAATAAAAAAAATCTTTGCAAACTGCACAGTACACTTAAGACAGTGCATCTGTTGATATATAATATGATATACCAGCTAAAGTGGGTAACGAACAAATGTTATTTTGGTCCACTGAACTGCATATTATAAGGTGGGGAAAAAAAGCAAACAGAATTACTTAAGACTGGTTCACAAAGCACCTTATCAATCTGATGCTGGTCCTGGTCTTTAGGGGTTCTCCCTTTGTCCCATTCTCCTTCTATTCAAACTATTCTCTAAGAAATAGATAAAAAAAATAATTGATTCATCTGCAGTGCTGCTAAGTTTCTCAACTGCAGGTGAGCCCAACACAGGTCTTGTCTCACTGGTCCTGTACCCTGACCCCTGGCCTCCAGAACTGGATGTAAAACCTTAGCCTCCTTATTGCAAGAGAGCACAAATGGAGTTAAATGTAAGCATATTTGATTCTGATATTTATTTTACAATCGCATGCCAAGAACGTTAACTCAGACAATAGGGGATAAGCTTACGTTTGAATCAACTCTTCTAAAAATAGATCCTTTTTCATTTGCATTCACCAAAAGTGCACTCCTTTATTTATTAACTATTTTATTAGCAAATAAAGTACTGTATTTAAGTGCATATGTTAGTCAGATGGGAACAATAACTTTTTGGAGCTCAAAGCATGTTCTCTTATTCAGCATTATGGCCTATTTGATTAAGGTGTACCTTGAATTAATTAATGCATGATTTCAGTAAAAATGGTGGGTTAGGGTGGGGGTGGGGGGTACTCAATCAATTTTCCTGCCTTTGCTCAGGGAAATGTCAGGTTTCTGTGCAGGTGTAGGCAGAGAGAGAACCAATATGCCCATTCCTTAAAGGGAAGCTATATGGAAAAACTAAATAAGTCATCAAGGTATATATAGCAACACCTAAGAACAAGAATTATTTCTAGCTGAAGATAAACACAAGCAAAACAAACAAACAAAAAAAGGTGCAATACTGCATGTTTTTTGGTGCATTCTTAAGATGTAAATGAAAATGTTTATCTATTGTATGCATCCAAAGCAGAGCTGATTTCTTTTTGCAGTCATGATTTGAAGTCTGTAAAAGCTTTAGCCCTTCCCTTGAGTCACCCTGAAGAAACTTAACCAATTGATTTAATAGTTGCTTAGTGCCTTTATCCTGTACCCACAGCGAACTGCAGAAAGTGCCTCCATTAACACAGCTGAGAAGTTATGTAACAAAGAGAGGAAGGGTTGGGGCACAGATATTTTGCTTTTCCTGTTTCCATCCGCGCTGTCTCACTATACCACTGTGAGAAGACCACACCGCCTGAGCCCTGGAGAGGAGAGATCCAGGAGGGTGCTGTTTCTCTGGCCATCCACTGGATTGAGTCCCTTTGGCAGCCTGATGTGGGATGTAAAACTGGGACCTGAGACCTAGCTTTGAACTGGACATGAACCATGAACTCGTGTTTTTTTTCTCTTCTCCACCAGAGCCAAGATAAACTTTTTTGGGAATTTGTTTCCCATTGAGGGCCACTCTGGACATTCAGGGCTTCCTCAGGTCCCATGCAGTGTTTGTGCATTTCTGTATTCCTCTGTCAGCAACAGCGCTTTGCAGATCTCTGATAGTCTGATCTTTCTGGCATCATTGTGCATATGGGAAGGAACACTCAGTTCATAACATTTCCTAGGCCCTCCCTCCTGGTCCAGTCTCTTGAGATATTTCCAATGATGCTCCTATGATCTTCCTACCTGGCACTCACTTCGCAGGCCAAGCATCTCCCAGCACCCAGCCCAGAGAGCAGCTGAGACCCTGAGCCTAGCTGAAAGAGAGCCACAAAACGCAGGCCTCGGGGACCACCAGCTGTCCACCCATGGAGAGGCGCTCGCTGCCTTTTTAAGGACACCAAGTGGGGACCTTCATTCTGCACTTAGCATGTGGCTGCCTACTGCTGACCATCTTGCATTTCTGCCCTGCTTCTTCTGGGAATCTTCCCTTTACCCCCATTCCTTCTTCACCTTATCCTAGAACTATCAGTGAGGCAATAAACGAAGAAACTAGAGTGCCACCCAGGCTGGTTCACTCTGTTGAAAGAAAGAACATGGATATTTTATTTTCCTATGCTACTCTGTGGATCTGTATGACTAATGTAACATCATGGAAGATGAGGAGCCAAGAACTGCACACATCTGACCACTGCATAAACCCTCCCCTGTAATGTTTCCTTCTCTTTTGAATCTTGACTCATCTTGGCTATTCCTTTCCTACCTGCTTCAAAGTTCCCAGTTGGGAAAACATGCAACCGCCTCCAAATTTCTGGGGATATCGTGATCTTTTAGTTAGACTCTGAGATCTAGGACACGCAGAGCTTGAAATGCTGCACTCTGTCAACAGCAATAATCCGCTCAGTACTGTGGGATGGATGGATCAAAGGATGAGAAAACGGGTCCAAGACTGAGGAGATGAACTCTGGCTGCCTGGTATACCTCTCGTAGTTAGATGCTGGACTGGTGATTCTTCTGCATGTGTGACAGGAAAAAGTGCTGCATGCAGTGAACCTGTTGGCCTGGGACTGAGGATGAGCTGTTGTTACGAATTTGAGTGGTAGGGGGAAAATGAATGCTGCTCCATCTGCAGCTCACTGCAACCAAGTCAGTAAGAACGAAGTATAGCGACTGTATAGCATAGGCTGGTGAAGTTTCACAAAGCTCTCACCCCTGCACTGTAATGTGCTGAAATGTTTTTGTAGACCTGAAGGTGCACTTAACAAAACTGCCTATTTAGTAATGACTATCTTTTGGTTTACTTACTCATATTTATTTTGTCAGGCTTTTTACCTTCCCACCCCCTTCCTAAGTCTTGAGCTTTAATGGCTCATATCCTGAATACTTGTTTTCTCCCGAAGGAGAAGACTTCTGACATGCTGATAGCCATAGCTCAGCTCTCCCAGTGTTTGGGGCCCTAGTTCAATAGGGTGACAGTGGAAGGGCTGGGTCACACCAGGGCTATTAGCCATCCCAGAATCTCCGAAGTGGTTAACTCACCTCAAGTGATCTGAATTAGAGAAACCAAAGACATTCATTTCCTCTGTCCTCAGATTTATAGAAGACAGATTGTCACCAGGAAAGGTTTTTGTTTTTGCATCTCCTCTTCCCCATCTGTGCACAGCCCTCCCTCATTCCCCCTTGAGAACCGAGTTTCAATTATCAGTTAAAACAGTTCATTGAGAGTGTGTTAGCGAGTTAGCCTAGCAAAATCAAATGAACCAATAGCTAATTCTTTTTTCTGAAGTCTGGCCAATGGACAATCATTTCTCTAAAATAAAATTGTGTAGTAGGTTTAGGCTCCACTGTGGTGGAATCAAAGCACCTGCAACATCACAATCTTGACTCACTTGAGAGTTTTTAAATTCCTTTAAATGGTAAGTGGGAATAGATTTCTTTAAGTAGATATTTGGTTTAGTCCATAAGGGATCTTCTCCACATGGTGTATAGTTACAGATTTTTCAAATTTCTTAACATCTGACACATCAGTACAAAATTTCCCAACCCTCCCATTTAATATAGGAGATCTCAAAACATGCTTTTTAATAATTTTATGACTGATTTTTCCTTGTTTGGGAGATCAGATCAAACAGAAAGGAGATAGAGAACCTCAGCAGAAAGCAATTTCCCATTTCCTTTTAGGAATGACTTATTCCTGGGAGTGGTGAGAATTGGTGGGTGGTAACCATCCAGAGTATGAAATTGTTAGAAAGAATATAAACTACCAAACAGCCATTTTATCTTCCCATTTTTTCAAGGAAGGTTGAAGTATCTTAATGTGTATGTTCATTTCAAGAAGACAAATAAACTATAGTTTTCAAACCAGACACAACCCAAGTTCACTTGCTATCTCAGGATGTGGTTCTCGCCCACCATGCAATGTATTGGTACTCGTATTTATATTATGGAATTTCAGGGTATGCGAACGTGTCCAGCATGACTCAGGTAAACCTTAGAAGAATGTACATTACTTACCATTTTTGTAAAGAAGCGAACAGGAGCTGAGTTAACCAACACTGTTCCATTACCTTGGGTCACTGTGTGAACTCATTCAGGGTATAGGTATAAGGTTTAGAGGTCTTGGGATCAAATGCCAGTCTCTGTGCTCAGGCAAAATGACCTTGGGCTTTCTTGGGAAGTCCAGTGTGTATGTAAGGGGTGAAGCTGCTGACCTCAGGACTATTAGCTTTAAGGAGATTGGCCCTGGTCACCATGATTTTCATTTAGGAGCTAGCTAGGAGTTTATGACATGAGACTTCAAAGAGTTTAGAAAAGTTTTGTACCATAATCAGAGAGGAAGAAATGGTATAGGGAAAAACAAAATAAAACACAAAATCCCTTGCAACCTTGCAAAATATTCCAGGTCAAAAGTTGTCTCCCCTCCACACCTTGCAGAAATACTGTTCTCTTCAGTGCACTGTGCTATGCAGCAGCTCTAAGTAGACATCATGAGCTCTAGATGACATACCTCTAATAGTAAAGGTAAAGTATTACCAAGGCTAAAAATAACAATTGAGTGTATTAATTTCAAGTGCACCATCAGGACAACAAACCATTGAAGCTGAAAAAGCATTCTTTTATTTCTTGAGTTTGCCAGTTGCTTACCCCTTGAGTTGAGGATGTGTCTCTTGTTGGCCTACTGTGCATCCCTTGCCCTAACTGTCTAATATGTCAGGTAGAGGACGCTGAATGTTATGAATTGAGAACCTTATTGAAGCGCATAGTTTTCATCTATGCAATTTTACTTGCTTCTGTCACTTTATGATCTGTTCATATTTGGCATCAATTAAAGATAATTTTTATGGATCTTATCAAGGAATATCTTGACTGTTTTGGGTTTTTTTTTTGTCTCATGTTTAACTGGCCTTTTGGGAGCTCTTTCATGTAGGGTTTCTTTAAATAACATGATAGATACAGGTTTTATTTTCTTTGAAACTCCTGAACGCCCATTTCTTCTGTACAAGGAAATATGCAGGGGTTGAATTTTGACAATACATTCACAATCTGGATTCAGGTAAGATCCCAAGGAGATGCCTTTGGAATTTGGTTTATGAAAGCAACCAGGACTGAGCTTTGAAAAAGGAAAAAGAAATGAGACTCAAGGGAGTAAAGTAATTGATTATATTCACTTAAATTGTTTTTTATTTGAAACTGTATTTTTCATTCATAGTCTAAGCTTTTCAGGAAGGATAATTGTGTGTGTGTGTGTGTGTGTGTGTGTGTGTGTAACAGTGCTGTAGTCTGTCATCAGACTACAAATATCTTGATGGTTACAATATGGTGTTGGAAGTGCTTTTGATGAAGAAAAACAAAATGATTCCTAGCTGTTCTTTACATGGACTTTCCCCACATAGTTCTATGTGTGGTTATCATGTCTTTCTTCCTGTTGGATTTTTTAAATAACTTGGTGTATTTCCTTTTGTTTCTCCCTGAGCTTTAGAAGCTCTCTTTCCTTCCTTGTGAATATCGTATTTTATACTATCTCTTTTATGTCAGAGCAAGCAGGGTTACATGCTTTATGATACATTTCTGTTATATGCCAGTGCATTGGGTGGTTGGGCTGGTGTGTCATCATAGAATTATGTTGCATTGTGATGGGTTAAAATTGTAAGATTTGGAGACAACTCTTGCTTTTGCTGTAGAAATTACTACTGAAAGTAGACCAGAGGCTAAGCAGGCTGTCTATGACTTTTTGTTGTGGTCAGAAAAC